TCCACTCCCTTTGTACTACTAAACAAATACATACGAATGAGCATCATTAAGAGTATAGACGATATCCACTCCCTTTGTACTACTAAACAAATACATACGAATGAGCATCATTAAGAGTATAGACGATAATATGAAGATCAGAAATGAAATGAACGGAAGTATGAAGATGAAGGACGGACACAAAGGCTGTATAAGCTGAAGATCTGAAATAAAATGGACAGGAGTATCAATCTCTGAAGAGATGCACAGGAGCATACCTTCTCCTTTTACTCTGCCTCCTGAAATAACGTGCAAGTGGTCCATGGAGGCACACGGGGATGTGGGCAGCTGCCGCTCAACCACAATCAACGTGGGCAGCCTTGCGCGTAAGAGGCACAGTAAAAGGGGAGCTGCAAGAACAATGAAAGGGGTACCCCAAGAACAACCAAAAAGCTGTCTAATTATAAAATTGCTTTAATATGTTGGACATCTCAAATGCTCTCGTTGTCTGCAATAGGATAAAGACTGCTTTGATTCTGAACCTGGGTGGAATTGGGGCTGTTGTGGGGAAAATCCAAAATACACTCACACACACACACACACACTCTCTCTCTCTCTCTCACACACACACACACACACACGCACACACACACACCCACACACACACACACACACACACAGACTTACTACGGTTCTTGTCAGGGGTTTGGACCGGCAGTCTGCTAGGATTGCAAGGTTGGTGTGAGTGAAGTCGACCACTTTTCTCAGGGGTATCGCTAACTCTGGGCGATGTGGTGAGTCCTTATCCATCAGCAAATGAATCCTGGGCAGACTGTCAGGGTTCAACCTCCTGATGAGTCGGTGAAAGTCCGACGAAACAGTCTGGTCAAGTCGTTCTTTTTTTGAGAGTATAGCGAATATGACAACACACGGGGCGAACTCGGTGTTTTTGTTTTGCACTTTTTTTTGTTTTTTTTTATAGATTGATTGATGGATCAATCGAGTGATTGGTGGGGAAGGGGTTGCCCTCCCCCCCCTGCACACACACACACACACACGCGGGTCGACCCGCTGGTTCTTTTTTTCTCTTACTTTTGTTTTTTTTGATTGATTGATTGATTGATTGATTGGTGGGGAAGGGGTCCCCCTTCCCCCTCACACATGCACACACACCATGACACACGCACACACACGAAGAAAAAAAAAAGTTCCCTTTTTTTATTAGTTTTCTTTTGAGTCAAATACTTGTCTTTTCGTTTTCTAAACAAAAAACAAAAAACACTCCTTAATCCAAAAAAAAGGGGTTGTAGGGATTTTAAAACTGTACAACCCCATATTGTTTGTGTTTTCTTTGGTCCATTATTTTTTTTAATAAAAATGTGTCAAAGTCCTGGTCGCACCCAACCGCCCGGGCCATGGCTGGCGGTCGGGATCTGGACCAGAATCCGAGTTCGACCCCGCGGTCATGACTGCGGGGGATTCATAGAAACCAAGTTTTTTGGCTAAAAACTCATCCGAATTTGCTGCTCCTGAGGGTGCGGCATTCGTTAAACACTGGACCCCTTGGATGTACGTGGACGTATTTTGAGACCAAGATACATCCAGGGGGGAATGCCTGGACAGGGGTGTGTGGCAACAGTGGCAACCAACTTGGCACTATTCATGATGGGTGACTGAGCGAGATGCTGTCTCGAGCCCGAAGGTAGCCAACCTTGAGCATGCTTTATCATGGAGGAAAGGACCAGGCTTGTTGAGGGCAAGAACGATTCAACGAAAGATCAGAAAATAAATTAGGAGTCTGAACTAAGGAGCATTAACGAAGTGGAAAGGTGCTTGGTATTGGCCCTACTACAGTCTTCGCCTGAATACGGTCATTATAGCTGAATTTAGACTGGAAGATACCCCAAATTAAGCTATAATAATGACCGTACGTTGTATTCGGGGGAAGACTGTAGTGGGTACAGGTATCACACCGGTGCCAGACAAGGAATGGTGTTCCCCATATGGTCAAAGAAAAGCAAACGAGGGACGCCCCTCCATGATTTTTATGGAGGCAAAGCAAGCGCGACC